ACGATTAAACGGTTAAAATCAAGTTGTTTAAGGTTAATAGAGAATAAGGAAAGTTTTGGGTCTAATTAATTATTGAAGTGAAGTTTAAATATAAATTGTTATGCAATCGTAATTTTGTGGATCAGAACAATTTCACATACTTAAGCAAATCATACACGCAATTTGTTTCCTATGTTGTTCATCGCATTAAGTTGTTGTGATTTGAAAAGAAAGAAAAAATAAATTATGAGGGTACATACTTTACATGATGATAGGTACATTCCTCTAATCTTCGATAACCGTGTTGTGTGGAGATTTACTTATTATAAATAAAAGAATTTGCAACTATTTTGAGGTTAAGTTAAATAACATTTACCTTTTTATTTTAAAATATAGATAAATTTTTATTGTGTTTTTAATGAAATTCCATTTTTATTGTATTTTCACATTAATTAAAAGTAGGTATAGGGTGTTTGAATATAAATTTTTTTTATTTCTATATTGAGTTTGTATCTTATGATTATGTATTATATATATAAAAAATTTAATATGATACAATGGTTGATAAATTATTGGAGGTTAATTTAGTTAGGATTTTATAGTCTTATAAAGATATCAACAGGTTAATTTTTTTAAAAATAAAAATACAGACATTTACTTCAATTCTATTTTTAATTAATAATATTTATCTATTCGGTGTTTTTCAATAATAACTGTTATTTTATTAACAGTAGCATATTTATGAAAATTAAATAAAATTCTTTAAAAAATATAAAAAGAAGTTATAAAACGTGAAAAAGTAACAAATTCACATTCTTTAATTCTTAGTTAATATAATATTTTTAAATAAAATAAGGAGAACGAATGTGACGTTATTTAAACATGATCGATATTTATAAAAAAATTTATTAGAGGACAAATGTTTATATAAAAATTAAACGGGATGTGATGATATTTTATTAAATATGTGTCTATTTTAAAACTAAATTATCTGATAAAAATAAACTAATAATGTAATGATTGCGCCGACCGTGATGCTATTCCATGTTAGTATTGTTCATCAGGAAACATATTGATTATAATAATTTGGTCTCAAGAAAAAAAATATTAATTTGATATAGTTTTTGTTATTTGATTATTCAACTGATTAATTATATTTATTAAGCTAAAGGAAATATATTTTTATATTTAAAGGCCCATAAAAGACGAGGAACTGGTTATGAATTTATAGTTGTTTTTAGAAGGAAAAAAAAATGTAACGATAAAGAATGTATTAAAAGGGTTGGTTAATTAATTGTGTTGTTACTTGTTCCAATTGGCACTGGTGATAAAAGGAAACAAAACAACGTGCATTGAGTTGATGAAGGAAAGAAAGGAGAGTGTTTTGCATTAAATTACTTGAAGCACATGCATGCAAACTACTTTGGCTTGCTAAAAGACGAGGTTGCTAAATTCTCTTCCTTTTGCTTGTTTAAATTAGTCATGGTACCACTCAAACGCCATAGAAGGTCGCATGTTATCCTCCACTCACAACCCCTTTAATATATTTTGCTACTCTCCACTCATCAACTGTAGGTAGTTAAATAGTAGAAAAAAGTAATGACATTCCTGAAGAATGTCATAGATACTTGGTATCTATAAGCAAAACCAACAAACAAAGGAATGGAAAATCTTACTGTCTTCGTCTCCAATTTTGCACTTTGAGTTAGTGTATGGTCGCACAACGTACAGTGTTTTGTTTCTACAAAACTAAGTGGGCTACGTTACATTTTGGTCCGATGCATTTTTAGTCAGCTAACAAAAAGAGTCGGATGGATTAATTCGTTATAATTAAAATAAACTACATATTTCAATTTAATATCCGTTAAAGGATGGACTACAATTTTTTTTATATAAAATATCCTTCAATTATATAAATAATTTTTAAATTTTTATTCATTAATTAATATTTTTAATGAATAAAATTTTTTATTATATAAATTGAAAAAATTTATACATTAAATGTCTAATTATAATTAATAATTTATATTTAATTGATTAATATTTTAATAACATAACAAATATAATATTTTAATTATAATTTATTTTTATTTTTATTTTAATATGTAAATATTTTTTAAAAGTAGACCAACAAATTAATCTATCCCATTGTATTGTGTTGATAGATTAGGTAAGACGTGTCAAAGCAAAATAATATATTAAAACTATTAATTCATCAATTTTAAGATAAATTGACAAACTAAACTTAGTTATTTTCTCTTCCTAAATTCAATAGATAAATAAATTTACATTACATTCCAATTTAATAGATAGAGATATTATTCTTAGCTACAAGTGATTTAGTATATAAACTTAGATTTGTTGCTACTAAAAGTTTTTATTAGAAACAATATGTTTTTTTTTGTCATGTGTTGTTTTAAAATAATTGTCTTTTAATCTTATATTTTCAAATTAATCCTCCAATTTTTTTTAAATGTGAATATTTTTTATACCTGAATTTAACACTTAGTTATAATCTTTAACCTTAATAAATTTGATAAAAGATTAAATTTGATTTTAATCATTTTTTATATCTAAAATTGATGTTTAGTAATATTTTTATACTTGTTATGAAATTAATAAGGGTTAAGTATGTTTTTAGTCCCTATATTTTCATGTGAAATTGAAAATAATCCCTCCGTTATAATTCACATAAAAATGATCCCTATACTTTTGAAATGATTGAAATAGATCCATATTTTAAACGGCGTTAAGTATATGCTTGACTGTCTAACATGAATGGTATGACTCATTCATTATTTGACATGTGTAATTATTTAAAAAATAAAATTAAATAAAATTAAAATGTGTCAAGCTTTTAAAAGTCATTTAAATCCGCATTTATAATATTTAAAATCATTTAAAAAGAAATTTAAACTTCTCTGTCATTTATAAGTCATTTAAATCTAAATTTAAAACATTTAAAAGTCATTTAAGAATGGATCTATGTCCAGATCACTCCTTTTAAATTTAAATACAATTCATCTTTAAAATGAATTAGATTTTTCATTCTTTAAAAATAGAGTGTATCATATATGTTCCTGCACATACACGTACCATTCAAATACATGTTCCTGCATTTAACATGTTTCTTTATTTTTTAACGTCCACCCACAACATCCAAAATCATGTTTCAATCTTATACCACATTCAACCAAGCCACATTCAACCAAGTGGAGGGAAACAAGAGAAAATGTATAATTTAATATAAGAACTTGTCCACATAAAGTACTGTAATAAAGTTGAATCACATTATTTTAAAGTAATACATAAAAGAAGTGAACCACAATTGTTGACCATAACTGAAGCAAAACTACAAAACAGTTAATCACTTTACATTATAAATGTAGTATGGACCGCTTCATATTACAATACCCAAGCAATTTACATTACAAAACCCATTAAATTTCATGTAGACTAGGCAGCGGGGTTGTTGGAGCTGGCTTGAGAGCCAAATATTGGTGGTCTCCCTCTTCTTCTTGGTGCTGGAACGTTGATGGTAGATTTGGGCTGTCTCTTATCCACTGTTTCAGCAGCTGTAGTGTCTGTAGATATAGCTGGTCTTTTTCTGGAAGATGCAGATTTGATTTATAATGCCCACAGCTTCAAAATAAGACCACATATCTTAGTCAACATTACATATTTATGTTTCTCCCCACCCTTGTAACGCAAATTCTTCAACCTTATAAATTTACCCATATGGTGAAATGTTACAGAGAAACCTATTGTAATCCTACAATATGAAAAATTGATTCAAACAATGTACGAGACAAACCCTAAATCATGTTAACAAAACCCTCCAATACATGCATTAGAACACAAAATAAACATTTAGTTTCGCAAATGAAAAAACATACCTTAATTTTCGGAAATGAAAACCCTAGTTATGGTATACCATTGTCGCACACTACCGTTGTGCACCACCGTCGTACTGTCAGTCGAATCACAACGAACCAATGGAACCCTCGAACTTCAAAGTCACTTTGACTTCATATAACATTTACAAAGAAAAGGGAAGAAAGAAAAGACCTTTGGTATGTGATGAGAAAAAAAGAGAGAACGAAAAAGTAGTTGTAACGAGAAAATAAGAGAGAATGAAAATTGGTTGTGACGAGAATTGAAGAGATTTGGTGTTTGAGTGAGGAGAGAAGAAAAACTTCTACTTTTTAATTTTGTTTTTTTTTTAATAATAATTTATGTTGAATAATTTCTATGTTTTTTAAAGAAGAGCTTTGCTTTTAAAAAAATAATAATAATTACACGTGTCAAATAATGAATGAGTCATACTATCTTTGTTAGACAAATCACCATATATTAAACATCGTTTAAAATAGGGACTTATTCCAATTATTTCGAAAGTATATGGATCATTTTTATGCGAACTTTGACAAAGAGACTATTTTCAATTTCACATAAAAGTACAGAGACTAAAAACGTACTTAACTCAATTAATAATATATATATATATATATATATATATATATTAATTTAAAAACTTATAAGAACAAAAATTAATTGTTATCGATAATTAAAAGATGAAAAATATATTTGACCTTTTTCAATTCTACAAATAACCTAGTTATATATTTTACTTTGAAATTATTTTTCTTTATTTAATGAATGTTCTAGTAAAAAAATCCCAGTTAAAGACAAAAGACTTAAAGTGAAAGCATTCAATATAATGTAATCTATTCTAAACTATTGTAAGCTTATTTATAAACTCAAAATCAATTAGTTCTAACCTTTTTTTTTAATGAACCTTGCTAGCCAAGATATTTAGATTAGAGTTTTTGCGTGTCCAAATACCCTATATATGCAGTGTGTATCTTATTTATTTATTGTTGTTTATTCGAAAGTTAGTTCAGTGCTATTGATATTCAAATATCTTGTATGTAAAAGACATTTATCATGCGTATACTACTTACTAAAATATTTTGTTATCAAATCCTTGAATTGGTGAAGACATTATGTGAAGTGGCTACGTTCGAATTGGTGATCGTAGCCTTTGATTGACGACGTGGGTGCATTAGGGTGGGAGAGGAAAAGAGCAAATCCATAGCCACAAGCACATGATGTATATGAGGGCTTATGTGGCAATGGTTTCCACGTAATAAACCCTAATTAGTCCACCTTGACGACCATAATTCTTTTCTTTCTTTGTTTCTAGAAAATTAATATTATTTATGGAGGAACCTTTCTTTCACTGCCTTTTGCATCTTCATGCATGTGCGTGTTCAAAATGACTTCGGCGCAGTGGCGGTGGTTCCAGTAACTTTTTAATCCTTGCATATGCGTTTTTGGTTGATCCTTCGTCATTAAGCTAAACCCCAATCTTCGTGAGGACCCCATTATTTTACCATAACCAAAAGTATATAAATAAATAGAGAAAGAAAGAAAGAAAGAAAAGCTAGTCATTGATCATCCTCAAATAAATCCCCACCACCACACTGTATATACCATTAAAGTTTGCATGGAATTCTATAGTTCCTGTTTTAATTAAAACAAAGACACCCATCCATACGTACATCTGAAACCCACTTCATTTTTTTAACATAATTTCTTTTCAATTTCTTCAGATGGGTCAAAATTAGTTTTGCTATTATTCTAAATTTATTTTTTGTCTTTTTAAAATATGGTACAAACTAATTAACTATACAAATTCAGGATTAATTACAACTCCCTTGAAAGCAACAATAGGTGATATCTTTTTCCCATGGATCATGGAAGAATATCCTTACCATTTACGACTAGAAAATTTTTCTATGGATCTTCCTCGATCGTAGAAAAATCATACACATAAAATAGAGAGGTAGACAAAGAAATATATTAATCCAAACAACACAAAGTTCAAGTATTTTAGATAAGTGAGTGACCTTAAATAGATAAAAAAAAAATCTCGATTTTGTTTATATAAAACATGGTTGCACATAATTCTTGTTGTTATATATTTCACACAAAATCAGCAATCAAGTTAACCATTATAAATAGCAAAATCATAATAGAAGACTAACTTCACCTATTTTTGCACGGGTATATATATGTAGTAATCAAAATCATCGATTCTTAAAGTGCTAACAGAAATTTAATTGATAAATCTCTTTCACACTAGCTTTAACTTAAATTTAATTATCAAAGATTGGTGGAAACGAAGTCATTATAAAAAAAAATGTTAAGTTAAATATAATAACCCTAATTTTTGTGTTTGTGTGTGTAAAAGAAGTAATTTTTAAAGTGTGAAAATTAAAATACCTAATACATGTGTTTACTTTTTCTCCTTTGGACAAACACGCACATAGCTTTCCAATTTCTTTTGCCGTGGTGGGTCCCACATGTTGGAACGTTGTGCATCTCATCGTCCTTAAATACCCTGCCCCTACACTTCACTTCTTCCCTTTTCCCTTCCTTTCCTCCCTCCGGTTCAGTTTTCCATCCCACCCGGTTCACTCCTCTTGTTTTCTCGCGTTGCAAAACAATGTTCTTCCACGAAGAAGCCGAAGCGGTTCAGTCCTCCTATTTCCCGGTTCTCGAAACCCTGTTCACGCCGAGCAAAATACAGGAGCTATTCTCCCTCATTAACGAACCGCCCAGCCCGGAGTCCGGTTCGTATGGATCGAACCGGGCGGTTCGGTCCACGCACGAGAGAAAGCTTCGGCGAATGCAGTCGAACCGGGAGTCAGCCAGGCGGTCCCGCTGGAGAAAGAAGCGGCATTTAGAGAGCCTCACGAACCAAGCGAACCGGTTCAGATTGGAAAACCGAGAATTAAAAAACCGATTATGCTTAACCATGCACCAGAATCTTCTTCTCTCCGCCGAGAATGAACGTCTTAGATCCGAATCCGTGACCCTTATGGCTAGACTCTCAAATCTTTATCAAATTTTAGGCACCATGATTTCACGATAGTAGTAGTGTCACTCATATAACTAAAAAGTAACAACAAAAATAGATTATGTCATCATGTGTATATGAATATCACAATGGGTACTTACGACGTCGTTTAGCTTACTATATAATAAATTAAGCTCTCCTTCATATTAGTGAATACCCCCAACATTAAAATTGTGTTGGGTGCATGTGTTAACGTTACAAATTAAGTTTTTTCTATTTTGTGAAATTTTTTCTCTCTCCCTCTCTTTTATTAGAAGAGGAAATACATCTACACATGCATGTGGTGGTTTCGAGAAACCCCACGTTGTTGGAAGAGGAACGTAGAGAGATTTGGGGGGTGTCTACTTTTTGTTGGTGTTGCTACTTTATTTTGTCTTAGTAGTTTTTGTAATTAAATTGTAAGAGTTTGGTTAGTGTACAAATTAAGGAAAATGGAGAGTGAGAATTACTTGAGTTGGAGGAACATGTTAATCACAGTTTGATGTAAATATAAGGTAGAGTTATGGGTCAAGGATGGAATTAATGGTATATAATGTTGTTTCTTCTTTTTCTGTGTCTTTTGGATTTGGATAATGGTTGAGTATAGTGTATTGAATTGATGATTTGACTATGACTTGATATGGACAAAGATATTTGGTTGATATGCCTTCTGCCTTGTCCCCAAAAGAAATTATTATATAAGAAAAAAAATTAAAATATAAAATAAGAAAAGAAAGGAAAATAAAAATATATAGCTGCCCTAAAAAAGTGATTAAAGAAGGAAAAGAGAGGTGTGGCAAATTTTTTGGCAATGAGGTCATAGAGGACCCCCACATGTCAACAACTATGTTGTTAATCATAACGGATGCAAATTTCTTTACTAAAAGAAGTTGTAGTAAACAGTTTCAAATTTTTTATGCATATGGACTTATATAAAAATATATTCTTTGTTTTTAAAGACATTGTCTTTTCATTTATTACGAGTAGACAATTGAGTTTTTTTTTTAATACAATAATAAATGTACGTCTGTCATTTTTAAAATCTATTAAATAAAACTCTACTACATGTTAAAAAAAGAGAGAGATTCATATCCAAAATTATTTCGATGCTTAGAAAGTATCAAATAATACATAGAAAGTGGAGTAATTTTATTTATAATCCTTTTACTAGTAAAATTTTATATAATAAATTATATATATATATATATATATATATATATATATCATTTAATATCTAAAAAAATATTCTCTTATTTATATTTGAGTAATCAGATATATTTGATACAATAAATTTTTACTCAACTACAACAAACTAATTAAATTATTTTAAAAAATAACTCAACTAAATTGTTATATTAGTTTTAATTTAAAATTTTCATTTTTTTTCATAAATAGAACAATTTAAATTTTACCGAAATTTTAAAGAATTCAAAATACTTTAATTTGGTTCATTTCATGTAAACTAAATGCAATATAATTTAGTTTATTTAAGCAATTATATAATTTACTGTAGTGAGTGTGGCAATGGTTCAAGGCTTACTTCCATAAACAGTATGTAATAAGATGATAATAATGGAAAATTTATTGTGAAAAAAACAAGCAAAAAGACTATCTAAAGGCTAGATATTATAAATGGAAGAAGTGGAAAGTTGAAACTGAGCGAAAGTGATTTTAACAATTTAAATAAATAACCTATATTATCTATTTAGGAGAAAAAACTAGTTGCTTTGTTTCAAAAAGAATAGAAACATAACCTTCAAATGTTATAAATTAACTTTTTTTTTAAATATTTTTATAAATTCAAAAGTGGTAGTCGATTAAAAATAAAAAAATTACATTAAATATTAATTTTTTTCAATATATACTTTTAAATCGTCCATAGAAATTGAACTTAATGATAATTTATAAACTTTTTTTTTTACGTAATAACATATGTGAGGCCAGAATAATTTTGTAATTAGTGAGGTTAAGTATGAAATGTTATTTCATTCTTACCTTCATGTCTCACCTCACTTAAAAATTAAAACTAATGATATTTATATATTGAGATACTCTTTAGTAACAATATCATAGATTATAGTATTAAAATGAATAATATTTTAAATATAATAATAAATTTTAATAATATTATCTATGAATTCTTTTATTTTTAGATGAAACAAAAAGATTGAGAAATTAATGAGATAATTGTTTTCATAACTTTGTTGTCTATGTCCAATTTTTTATGTTTTTTTAATGAGAAACATAAGTAAATCTTATACATATTTGATTATATTCTTTATTACTAAGTAAAATTCGTATATATTTCATAATATATATATATATATATATATATATATATATATATTAACATTAAATAATTTACATAACATTATTGCACACTCATTGTACAAAATCATATGCAGCATAACTTCCATAAACTTTGTTGTTACTTTCACGATACCTTAATTGACTTATTAAAATGTGATATTAATTCTAATAGTTGATATATTCACATCCATCATATGGTGCATGCCCGTATGGATATATACATAAAGAATCCATGTTGGAAAATTAATAATAATAATAATAATAATAATAATAATAATAATAATAATCTTGATTTTGATTCTAACAATCAAACATAAACATAATCTCATACTCGATAAACATACTGTAAACCGAATGCGAAAGCGTACACTGAATTAACCATAATGATAATGTCTTTGTAGAACATCTGTATTGATCTTATGATCTTCCACCTGAAGAACGACTTGTATTTCTCTCTTGATTTTTTCTCTTGATGGGGATAGAAAGAAAGGAACAGGAATGAAACTTACGTTCTGTCTATGTGCTCCCAGAAGGGGATCACGACCCCTTAAAATAACCAGAATTAGGTTAATTACTTAAGTTTTAGTATTTCCAATTTGACCCCTCGTCAAATTAGAAATTGTTCAATGGTCTCTACACAATTTTGTTTTCATGGCATATGCTTTTAGCAAAAACTTTAATTTAGTCAGATCACTTTATTATTTGGCTTAATAAATAATGACCCTAACACATTTAAATTATGTACCATATATAACATGATCCAAATTTTGCCAACAATCCAGAGATGGAAACTAAAGTTGCATTTGTTTCATGTTTTCTTAAATTTAACTTTTTAAATTTTTGTAAAAGAAAATAATTCACATACGAAGCAAAGGAGGAAAAGGAGGTGGGACAACCAAACATATCCTGGGATTGGAGAGATTATGGGAAATTTTTAATATATATTAAAAAAATGAAAAAAACAAAAATCCAAACATCAATTTCTTCCACCATGCACTTTCATGAAAGATACATCCCACTCCTTCTAAAGTAGGATGCAGATATGTTCTCCATGATATTTCCAAAACCAGTGTTAAATTCTACGAATTTCGTCCACAAATCCACTCATTGAAGCTTATCATGCGTCATGTTGGCTTTTTGAGGTTTTCATGGTCAAGAGATTTTAGTAGCTCTCTGAAGTTACAATAATTTTGAACAAAATATATAAAATATCATAATATAAGAACTCATTCTAAGAAAAGATAACATATACATGGTCCCATTATGCTAAATTTTAGTTTATTAATTTTTTATACAAAGACAAATTTTATTTAAAAAAAAAACTATTTATAAATAGTAACGTACTTACCAACTTGCATATCATGCAAAGCAGAAGAGTTATCAATTTGAAAAAGTGTAATTAAAGTTGAGAAACTAAGACATAAGCTTTATGATATCTTTTTATCATTTCTCATATCTTTCATTCTTGGTTAGTATTTGTCCAATAACAAATCAATCTAATCACATTGATATGGATTTGTACGTGGACCATAGTTCATGGATTCAAAGATTTTCACTGAAACATATATGTTCATCTCAAGATTTATCTTTTTTTTTGTACATTTCTTAACACTCTTTAAAGAGGTAAGTTATCTTGTTATAAGAACAGTGTTTTCCTTTGCCAACAAGAAAACAACTTGATCACATTATAATTCTTCCTATTTTGGCCTCCTATTATTTTTGTTAATTTAAATATTAAAGTAACTTTATAACTACAGCTGTCATCTACATTGTTTGATAATAACATTGATGTGTTCTATGCATTCCACTCTCTCATAAATATATCAGACACTAATTGATCTAAAATAATTGAGAGAGGTTTTAAATTGATGTATAAATGAAAAATATCAATTAATTTTACTTTGAAATTTTGAAATATGTATTGTTTCATAAAAAATAAAGATTAAAACATAAAAAATAATGGTTTAAAGGATTGAATATGTTTTTTTAAAACAAATAATAAATTTAATCCTTATATTTTAAAAGTTAACAAATTAGTTCTCAATTTAAAAAAAATTGAGTTTAGTCCTTTAATCAATTCATAACAATAAGAATATGTTATATTAATTATCTAATTTAAATATAACTAATTATTAAAATTACATTTAACCCTTTTATATCAACTCTGTTAAAAAGAAAAAAATACAAGTAAGTATGAAATTATGTATAAAAAAGACTAACACACTTATTTTTAAAATTGTAGAGTGTAATTAATAAATTTTAAAATATCTAAATCAAAACTAAAAACATACGTTATCCTATTTTAAATAGGAGTTATTTAAAATGTATTAAATATTTCTTAATTCACGTGTAATAACCTTAAACATAAAATTAATATAGAACTAATCAATTTATGTTTTACATATTTATATTTATTTAAATTTTGCATATTATATCAATTTATTCAGGGGCGGAGCTAAGGGGTCTCTAGGGGTCATGGTCCCATTTTTTTTTTAAATGAAATTATAATTTATATATATATATATATATATATATATATATATTTTTAAATAAATATATATAAAAAAATTTAATGTTAGTCCTAATCTTACAAGTTGGTTCCACCTTTGAATTTACTTAAATTTATTTATAAATATTACCTAAAGTTTATTTGACTATGACCAATTCACTATTCTTGCTTGCTATATAATATATGGGGATTATACTAATGATAGTAAAATGTAACATATACAGTGCATCATAAATTAGACAACAAATGACAAACACCTAATAAAATAAAAGATATATCGTATATTTCAAGTCAATTTATGGTTGCTGTAATATTAAGAATACACTCATCAAATATATTCACTTGAATTATCTTAGTATTGAGTAAATATTTTTTTGAAAGTTTTTAAATTTAAAAACATAGGTATTTCGATATGTTTATAAATTTTACGTTTTTTAAGAATAAATTTTTGATGAATTAAAGTTTTAAAGCGAATAATATATTATACATGAGACCTGATGATAATGATTTCATCAAGCATGACGTTCAAATCAATAATTATAAACAAAATCAATCATATTATATATACATGATAAATTTTTTCAGAAAAATTCAAACTAAGGCTGCTACACGAACCAGTACACTCAAGCTTCTCGATGTTGGCAGAACATGCGGTTAATTAGAGCTTAATTTAAGTGATCAATTTGGTAGCTTAGTTTCAACTTAATTAACAAACTACGAATATAGTGTTTGTCATGAAAAGTACAAATAACTGATTCTAAAAGGGGAATTCTTTATAGTGATCAAAGGTGAATATTTTCAATACCTATTGTGTGTCCATAGTGTCATCTGAAAATAATATAATCTTACATAAATCCAAAATTAAAAAAAAAAACTGACATCATTTGAAGAAACCCTTCATAGTAAATGTCATAAGACACCCATCCATCCAAAAAAAAGAAAAAAAAAATCGTTAAAACACGTTTGAACTACTTTGTAAGTTATTGTATGTGTGTGTGTAATTTGTAATATTTTAAAATAAAATTAGTATAGTTATACAAATTATAATGATTTAATTCAATAACTTATATAGAATATAATTATTTACAATATGCATGGTGAATTATTCTTGTAGTAATACCTAGTGTCTAACTTTTAAAAAATAAAGAATAAAAAGTAATAAGATGATAATAAAATAGTTTTTATATATATATATATATATATATATATATATATATATATATATATATAAAAGGTTTTATTGAGATTATTGAAAAAATAATATGAAAATAAAAGAGATTATGGAGTAGTCCTTCTTGCATTTCAGTTTTACTTTCCAAATTTGTTATCGGTTTCTATATTCATTTTGAATTCCAGAAATTTAAGGTTTTAAGCAAAAATTACGTTTGTCATTTTAAAATATTTGGTTTGTTATTAAAATCTTCCAAAATAGCATAATTATATAATCATAAACTTAGATTTTTCGAAAACTAGTCTAAATAAGTGTCATAATTTTATGGAAAATTCTACGTTCTAATGAATGCAAGACTATTCTAGAAAATGTCATGTTTTATAAAACTATAAGTTTGAATGTATGGAAGTTTTTTTCTAGAAATGTTTGTTTTATAAACAATATAAATTTATATTCATAAAAAAGAATTTCTATTAATCGAAGTCCATGAAATCAAAATATATGTATAATGAATCGATAAATTTAGTAGAAATATGTCAATTTCATGTTTATTTGTGCAGTTGTGAGAGTATAATATTTTAACAATATATATATAACAAAATTAAACACTGAATTTTATACCTAACTAAATCATATTCTAAATTTGAAAATCTATGATTAGTATTTGATATTAAGTAAAAGTAAATTAAATTAAAAAGAAAAAACTATTTTCACCAAAAATAATAATAATATAATAGTCTATATTTACTTTTAAGCAGATATTAATGACTAGTTTAATGAAATATTAATATCTTTATTTATTTATGGTTGTTGTTTCCTAATACCAATCATTGACTAGATAATGAAGATGGACATGCACACTGAAGTCAAGTCCCCCTAGCAAAGTTACAATCACTTTTTGATGATTGGTTGTTTTTTTATCCAAATGCAAAGAATCCATTTGGAATTCAGATTTGTAGCCCCCATGAAATCCACAAAGACGCAGTCTCGTGAAATTATAAAGTTAAGAAAACCTTTCAACCATATACTTAGGTGAGCGATTGCAGCAGATATAATTATTTATCTTACCAATTCACAACGTGCTTTTATTTTCTTTATATGTTTCGTAGTTGTCTTCTACTGTTATTACTTCTTACGCAACTTCCAAGAACTCACCACAAATATCTGTTTGGCTGGAAATAGTAAATAAAGAGGTGTCATCTTTTGACCTAGAAACGCAGATTAGACGCATTAATAACAATACCAAAACTTCAGAATAAGAGGATAATCAACACAACAGTATCTCATATCACTCCATCACTGTGCATTATTTTCGTCGTGAATCTTCCTTTTTCTCCAATGGATAAGACAAAATTATTTACAACCTTACTCTTTCTTTATTTAGGAGTTTCTGTACATGTTCATGTTTCCACAATGCATCAACTATTGCTCGTACATAACCAATTATTCATTAAAGAAAATTCAAGTTTTAATACCACTAACGGCTATTCAAGAAAAAAAAAAATCTCTATGCCTATTTATAGAACAAGTTTTACATCATCCAAAAGTGATTTATAAAAAAGCAGTATATGTAGTGTAGATAGTGGTCTCATCCCACTATTATTGAAAATAAGGTGACTGGATACATTAGTGGAAATAACAACAAAAATAGTAGCTAAGAAAAATTAATATCACTTTAGTTTTTAAAATAAAATATAAAGTCTAGCATTCTTTCACTTGATCTAATATTTTCACATTTTATGTAATTAACTGATAATTTTATAATCACACCCAAAATTTAATCACATGAATAATGTATGATAAAATGATTATTCACTTTCTTATATTACAATGTAACTTCCTTTGTAAAAAAGCAACAATTTTAACATAATGAATATGTTCAATATTTATCATTGAGTTAAAAAAATTAATATCTTTTAATAAAAAAATGTATACATAAAAATGAGAAATGAGAAGATAAGAAAATAACTGAAGTTCATTTCATTTAAAAGGAGATTTTATATACCTGAAGTCATATACTAAAAAAATATATATACAATGAGAAGACAAGAAAATAAATGAAGTTTCATTTTATTTAAAAAGGAGATTTTTCTTAATTAAATTAATTCATATACTTAAGATCCTTGAAAAATTTACTTTGCATAATTTGCTTTAAAATGTATTGTCATGGTTAAATATTTTATATCAATATATTTATTTTGACTTTCATTTTTTATTAGAAAAACAACGTTTGAGTTATTATAATATATTTTTAATGGTTTGTAAATGAAATCAAATACTTGTAGACCAATAATAAAATTTTTCAACCAAATTCTTTAATATATTTTCTTAAATAAAGAAATAAATTCATAAATAATGAGATAAATTCGATCTTCTTGGCAAAATAACAACTAAATCACGAACACGTAGCATGATGTTAACTTACGAGAATCAATACAATCAACAAAGCATGAGTTTAAGTAACCAAAAACTTCAATTGTTAGATATTTGATACATAAGCTTATAATATTTGGTCTCTATATCTTAATATTTTCTTGTAGCTTTTTAAATTTTTAATGTTCTATTTTTGGATTTCTTTGATATCTCCCAATTATTCCCACTATAAGGACAATATCAAGACCTGAGTATACATAAGACTTTCTACGACAAAAACACATGAGATATTTTTATTTGTTTCTTTCAAGCTCATTTTTAGGGAATTGATTCAATCTAAATCCATTACCATTCATAGTTGATGCTACACTTTACCAACAATCTTTCATATGAGACCTTTATAAAATTTATTAATATAGACATATGAAGACAAATCAATAGTTCTTTGTCATCTATTTTTGTAAATCTCAATGCTAATGGCATAAGATTCCTCATTAAGGTTATCAAAATAAATTAGGTTCGTTGGGCTAGTCATATAACTTATAAATAAGGTCATATTATTAAAAAAATTGGTTTTAACCGAGCCAACTATTTTTAACCCAACTTATTTGGCCTAACAAATAATGACCAAGGTGAGGTTGATCCACAGACTAATGGATTGACCTTTATTAATAATATATTTCTTATTTTTACTTTTTATTTTTAGAACTTAGAAATAATGAAACAAAAAAAAAACATATTTTATCTATTCCCTAACTTATCTATTTACATATTTTATTAATTGTTTATTTGTTTTAAAAAAAAAACATTTTTAAACTATTGAAAATTTATTATGAAATATTGTGAAAATACACTATTAGGAAATACATTTTTGTTTAGACTTTAATGATATCATATGATACCTTCATTAGTTTATCTACATGTGATCATAGAACTTTGGAAATCAGTTGATATTCATTTATGAAAAGGTTTTTTTTATGAGTTTTAATCAATCCCTTTTTTAGAGCTAACTTATATTTTTAAAAAGCATGTCATCTAGTAGATAAAATTTGGAGATAAGACACATATAAATAACTAATAAATAAATTTCATAAAAACCGGTACAATTGTCAAAATCAACCTAACATTTATCCTCATGAAATAAAATATTGTATAAGAATAATAGTCTCAAAGTTATTTTCATATACAACAAGCTTACTTTATAATAAAAATGTTTCAATTGTTTGGAGATATTTACAAAATATAATGCTCCAAGCTTGTCGAGGGGAAGATTTCTTTATAAATATAAGAGATTTTATCACAATAATGATTCATTTGTTTATACTTATTGTATTTCATTTAGAAATTATTATTTGCAAATCATGTTGTGTGACTAGTTGGTGATTAGATTATTACTTTGATTTTGGACGAGAAACTAAGTGTAGCCTTGAGATAGAGTTTCAAGTAAAAATTTAATTGATCTTGTAAAGTTTCAAGATCATTATGTGGTCTTTTTTCTTATTTGTAAGGTAATCTTAAAAGTCTCCCCAAGTTTTGTAACTTTCACATGTATTTTTGATTTTGATATCTTAAACTTAATGATAATTAAATATATCTTATTGTATATTTATAATTTTATTCTTTTTATATTTATTTATTATTTATTAATAATATATTATTTGACTCTCCTAAAATCAATAATCAAGATTCACCACTTGTTCTCAATAGAGAATGCACCAAGTATAAATTTGATATCTTTTTTTTTCTCTTATCTTACCTTTTATATTTCTTGCTAGATTACTTCTTGTATATTTTTGTTACCAAATATTAATATTAAGATCATTTTATAAAGTGTAATTTGTCTTTGTCTAAAAAGAGTTGATAATAAAATTTTTAGAATCTTTAAAAGTTTAATTCATTCCTCCTCTTAAACTCAATCATTATATCCAACAAGAGGTAACTTTAATACACAAATACAAAATAATACTTAAGGATTTTGAGACAATAAAAGCACTATAGTTTAAATTGGGCAAAAGACTTGAAAAAGTATAATATATTGCCAAACCCTTTACTTGAAAAGGAAAGGGATCAAACATTTTTTTTTTTATGGAAATGCATACGGCAATCCCAATACCATATCTCCCTAAATATTAAAAAATCTATTATCCTAGAGCACCCAAGGTAAAAACATGACAAAGGTTGATTAAATTTGAGATGAATGATTTGATGATTTAGGTTTAGAGTTTCTATGGGTGACTCACTTGTCATGCATGACACCTAAACAAAACATAACTTGTATTGATCCTCTTGTAAAGGAAATGAAGGTTTGTTTAAAGTCTTTATGCTTATAGATGGGAAACAACAATAAACATGGTACCCAAATCAATGCTAAAAAGAATTGAGAAAAAGATTCAAGTTTTTCGTTCCTTATAATAATATAACCTTTATTTTAGTGATAAATCATCTTATTCTAATATAATAATAAACCTCAATGTCACCATTAAAAGCATCATGAGGTCTATCTTATACATATCAACCCTTGAGAAATATGATTTTTACTAAATTATTCAATTTCGAAGATACATATTACTTTAACTAAAAAGGAGAATCTCTTGAATTTTAGAAAGAAGTTCATTATGAGAAATAACTTAACCATTAAATAATGACCAAATAAAAAAATAGATGTAAGTTTGATATATTGATTATGTTAACTTATTAAAAAATACAATTAGTGTTATTGTTCATTTCTTTCTTCAACTATCATATATATATTATCGATAAAAATCTTTTTAACTTTCTTTTCAGTTAATTTCATACTTTTTCAAATGTTTAAATAAATAAATAAATAAATAAATTTTATTTTTACTTATCTTTCTTCGTTTATTTAATCTTTTCCTTTTTCTACTTATTTTCAATCAATTAATCTCTATTTTTCATATCTTTCTCTTTTTTTTATATTTTTTTCACTATGCATTTCTTTCCTATCTATAAAATTAGTATAAGTTTATCCATGATTTTTATTTTCCCAATACGATTTTTCAAAATTTTTTCCTTAATTTTTGGTCAATGAAATAATGAATATGTGGTATTCGTGATTCATGCATACATGGAATTTTTCCACTCTATTTCTAACTTATTTTCACATTTCTGATTTTTTATTTTTTAAAATTTTTATTCTAGCTCGTGCCATATTTTGAAGGCCGAGACAAAACAGACGCGCTCTTGGTTGGCAAACCACTTATGCGAAGGCCCATTAAATTCAAAATCTGCGAGGGCACTTCCGTCAATGCACAAAAATTCAAATGTAGTAAAAGAGAGAAGGGTCTTATAAGAGAGCCCGCTCTATTTGTTGCAGAACAGAATCACTGAGAAAAGCAGCATAATGGAGAAGATCTGCGTCGCCGTTCGCCTCCGCCCTCCCGTGTCCGAAAACTCCTCCTCCACCGTTGGAAGCTTCTGGAAGGTCGAAAATAACCGCATCTCTCTTCATAAGATCCACGGGACTCCTCTCTCTGCCTCTTCTCACGCTTTCGGTACGTCACCGTCATCGTCAATTTCTCTCGCCTCTTGTTTTCTTTTCAGTTTACTCTTCAATTTTCCATTTCTCACTCTTTCAGATCACATATTTGACGAAAGAAGCACCAATGCTAGTGTCTACGGGCTCCTCGCCAAGGATATCATTCACGCCGCGCTCGATGGCTTCAATGGTATTCAAATTCGATTCTCGTTATTTCCTGGCATCTACTACTACTCATTGTTATTATTATTTTAGTTATTTTAGTTTGATATTCGTTTAAACTCTTAGTCTTAGCTAAGCTCAAGTGGTAACCTACCAAAGAATGCTGAATTAAGATTTAGAGCAAATTACACTCACCATTCCAAGGATTCATGAAATTACAAAAACATGTCCACGATTTTTACAAAATTAAGGGGATAGTGTATAATGAGTGTAGGTATAATTGTTTTTAAGCAATTTAAAGTGATTAGTATAGGAATAGAAATTCAGGAAGAATTTGTTTAATTTCATAAAATTTCAGGAATGGTGAATGTAATGTACTGTAAGATTTATGGTATGCTTTGGTGTCGTATGTTTAGAGTGTCAAAAGTGTATATTTTTCTTTTAAATTAAAAGCAGGTACAAAATTGGTTTGTTAAAATGAAAGTTATGCTATTCGTTTGGTACTTATACGTTTTAGTTCTTTTGCGTGCATAAAAAGTGAGATTTAGCCTCATTGGTTAATACCAGAGGAAAATTTGTCTGACCGTGCAACTAAGGAAAAATTTTTAGTGGTCACAAACGCCTAGAAAAACTGTGTTTACTGAAGTTTATAATTTTCTTGTAGAGGATTAAAGTTAAAATAGGGATAACTACAGCAACTAAGTGAATAGCTTAAGGTAAAATAAATTTTGAAATAAAGTGATTCTATGTTTAGATATTTTATTCGAAAACAAGTCTCATCATCAAGTTTTCTACCCAGCTGTTTCAACTACAATTAAATTTGTCAATGGACTAAACGTTTGAACATTTACTTAAAAATACTAGTATTTCAATGTGATTTTGGATGATGCTACGAAAATCCAAAGATTACTAATGTAATTATTTTTTTGTAATTTCTAAACATGAATTTTGATTTATCAAATGCTATGCTCAGGAACTGCATTTGCGTACGGGCAGACCAGTAGTGGCAAGACTTTCACCATGAATGGTTCTGAAACTGACGCAGGAGTGATTCCCCGGGCAGTTAGAGACATATTTACGACAATTGAAACGGTAGGTCTAGGAATTAGTACGAGGTTGTCTTAGTTTGTTCAAGTTTGAGGTTATTCATGAAATGTTGATGTTTGGTTCAACCAATTTTATGCCTCAGATGTCTGATCGAGAGTTTCTCATACGAGTTTCCTACATGGAGATCTACAACGAAGAAATTAACGACCTTCTTGTTGTTGAAAATCAGAAATTGCAAATTCATGAGAGTTTGGAGGTTGCCTAGTTGCTATTTGATTTTTTCTTTTTAATATATGATGTGCGTTTACTCTGTATAGAGTATTATGGTATAAATGGGCTGATTTTTATGTTTAAATTTTTGCCAGCGTGGAGTATTTGTTTCAGGGCTGAAAGAGGAAATTGTAAATAGTGCTGAACAAGTGTTGAATCTCATTAAAGCAGGGGAAGGTTTGTGTTTATACTGATACATTCTTATAAGTTTCTCTGTAGTTTGAACGTATATGCATGCTATATTTTATTTGATATTTTTGCAGTTAACAGACATTTTGGTGAGACAAATATGAATGTAAGGAGTAGTAGATCCCACACAATATTTAGAATGGTATCCCTCAAACTTTTTATTTGTTATTCTTATGTTTCTCAGAAAATTTTTCCTTATAAAGTTACTCCTAAATCATATGCTAAAATCAACTATGCAGGTGATTGAAAGCAAAGCAAAGGATTCCAATTCTTCCAGTGATTGTTCAATCAATGATGTTGTTCGAGTTTCAGTCTTGGTTTGTAGTCTTTTCTCACACCTTCCTTGTATGTAATAAATTCTTTCTAGTAATTTGCATGCTTATTGTTTAGTTTTGTGGAATTAGAATTTAGTAGATCTAGCTGGTTCTGAAAGGATTGCCAAGACTGGGGCTGATGGAGTACGTTTAAAAGAAGGAAAATATATTAACAAGAGCTTAATGGTTTTGGGAAACGTTATCAACAAACTAAGTGAGGGTTCAAAGCAAAGGTATATAGTTATTTCTCCTGTGCTCCCACCAATACCAGGGAAACCCCTTATATTGTATTTGATCTTGTCAAACGCCCTGCCTACTGTGCAATATTTTAATTTAGGGGTTTTTGAGAAGATAATAATGCTCCGCCTATTTTTGTTTTACGACAGGGGGCATATCCCATATCGTGATAGTAAATTAACTCGTATACTCCAACCTGCTCTTGGTGGTAATGCCAAAACGTCCATTATTTGCACCATAGCACCAGAAGAGGTAGGGACTGTGATTTTCGTTTTGCATTGCTCTTTGCATCTTTGAAGATCAACAATATTTTAAATGTTCGTCATTCTATTCAGATTCACATTGAAGAAACAAGGGGAACTCTTCAGTTTGCTAGTAGAGCCAAGCGCATCACGAATTGCGTTCAAGTGAATGAGGTTTGTGTATTTTTGTGTACTTCAAGTTTTCTATCTTGTAACTTGTTACCCTATTTAATTTAATTTTCTCTCAAAGATTCATATTATTACTTGATGAATATGAACTTGGTGTAGGTATTGTAGGTGCATATTTAGTCACGCCTAGGGTCCATTAATTGTGAAATGTTTACTTGCCAATGATAAGTTTCCAACATGCATATCTTACAGAGCTTGTGTATTACCCTTTACGATTTGAACTGAATAAGTTTGAAGAAATTTAAGAACAATTTATAGATACTGTTAAGACTTGCCCGACAGGATAGTAAAAGACTAAAGTGAATTGGGTCAAGCCTGAATTTTTCTCTACATTTTACTTGTTTTTCTCAGGGAATAGTTAACGTAGTTTCCTCAATAATAAATTCCATAGCAACTGGCTATATGCTTATATGGTTCGCTTACGTGTGCATGCTGATACTTGTTTCTAGCCCACATTTGGCCAAACCTGTGTCTTGACAAATGGAATTTTACAGATATTGACAGATGCTGCCTTGTTAAAACGGCAACAATTAGAGATAGAGGAGCTACGTAAGAAGCTTCAGGTAATCATCTCCTCATGATAATTTGTACATTCAAATCAGAAAATGTTACATAATAAAAATTTCTTCATAGGGATCCCATGCTGAGGTGCTCGAGCAACAGATTCTTAAACTCCGGAACGATTTGCTCAAGGTAGGTCTAAACTTTCAAATTCCAATTCACTATGCATAGTTATAGCCATTCAAGTTCATGCTAAGTTTTAACATGAACTCGGTTTTATTGTTTTGTATTAATTAATGAACTGTCTGCTCATATCCTACTGTACAGTATGAAATGGAGCGTGGGAAACTTGAAATGGAACTACAAGAGGAGAGGAAATCACGTAATCAATGGATTAGGGAGCAACAGATGAAAGTTGAAAATTCTACTACTAAATCTTGCTCAGACTGTGGGACGAACGGCAGTCAGGTACACCTCGTTTATCTGAATGATCGTTAGATCTGTATGTTAAACTGAATTTGCATAATAATTTTTGTTCCATTAGAACAATTCAGTGTTCCTTTCTGTGCCGCGTTCTAGTTAACATGATTTCATCCTCATTCTTCCATTTTAATTTTAACCATTTTATTCATTAGGGACCGGTATTTTTGAGGCACGGATTTATGGAAGAGTACAGTGATATTAGTAGTAAATCTCAAGGAGATATTTTCAAATCTCCAAAGGCAGATCCCAGTGCTTTTGTAGTCAGACGATCAAAGTATTCAATATTGCCAGATCAAAGCCCCCTTCCGGATGCTTTCTGTAATGTGGCTGATGAAGATATGTGGTTGAAAATGAACAACGGATATGTAGCAGACCTTGATTCCCTTCAAACTACTCCTCCCACGAACAGAAAAGTTCAGTCATTCCCGACGAGTGATACAACTGCTGTGAGTTCATATTTATTTTTTTCCCAAAGAAAGTTTCTTATATGTGCTCTTGCATTTCTATTGTTTCGCATTCATCCTCATTTCGCCCAAAAGGGACAAATTTAAGAGTAAAGGAAGGGTAGTGCTACACAGTTTGCACTGGATGTCATAAAGGAGAGAGAAGAGAAATCGGTGTCTAGACATGCATGGTGGAGATTATTTTTTTCCTCGTTTGGTTAATGGATTTTGCAAAATTTCCCTTGTTGAACTATTCTTGTTGATTTCACCATTTTGGCCAAACGGTATTCAACTATTATAGACTCACCTAATCATGTGATCATGTATTAAAGAAAGTTTTATGAAAACTGGAATTTGTGCTAAGCATTTTTGTAGTTCAAATGTTCAATAAGTTTATGCCCCTGTGGCTTACACGTGGCTTTTAATTAATATATATTGTGAAATTAATATCTTCTTTTTTATTAAGTAGTATATGATGCATTTTTTTGGTAGTCACTTATTTTCATTTGACTTATGTTTGTCAGGGTTGTACAAGTGAAAGTGAGAAGTATGAACTGGAGGTTCAAGATTTGAGGAGACAACTGGAACTTGCTAAAGAAAGGATAAATGAACTCGAGGTCAGTTTCTGATATCCTGTCTCAATCACATTTGTGAAACAGAAATTTTGACTATAGAAAGCGATCACTCTAGAAAACCACTAAAACTATTGTTTAACTTGATTTATGAATAAAAAGGGATAATTCTTCCAGTATTTTGCTGAAATTACAATTATGGTAATTATACATATCTCTTATGCCTTCTTCTAGAATGATTTTAATTTGTTAATATTTTGAATCCATTTTGAACTACTGATACTGAGATATAAAACATCCGTTCTTTACAGTTGACCATCCATAAAATACGACTATATCGACCGACCTTAATGAGAATTAAAGCGATATACCATTGTATTCTTCTCATGCCCGTGTTGGGCAATGTTATGTATTACTAGCATTTTCTGTTTGAGCTACTTTTCTGTAACTCTGTATTATGCTTGACTCTATGTTAATAATGTATGTGAATCCAGAAAAAGCATTCAGAGGGAGTGCCATCAAGCAAGCAATTAAAGAGTGAAGCACCTAAAAATCAACAAGAAACACAACTAATTCATGAATTGCCTCGGGGGTTATCTGAATCTCTGGGAAACTTCAAAGATAGCTTTGAGGAGTTTTTGTCAGCAATGCAGGTTGAATGAGTCACTATATTAGTTTTTTTCAGAACTTGATTTGCTTGATCATTTCAAGAAACAGTAAAACAATTTTCTCCTGTGTTAAACAGAGATTTGCATCGGGTGGCACAGTATCGACTGAGAAGATACTTTCAACCATGAGTGAAATTGGAGCTCATCTGTTTGCAACTTTGGAAGGTCATTTTGCACTGAATATGGGTGGTGAAGGGTCTTACACTGGAAACTGTACTGTAATAAATGAACAACAAAAAGTATTTCGCGAGAGGATTGACAAAATAATTACATCACTGGAGTTACCGAAAAGATCAATAACAGGACAGGAGAAGAAGCAGAACTGCAGCTGTGAACACAAGGTAGTTGTCTGCTCACAAATATCAAGATATCAATCATCAATCATGGTTTTATTCGTTGTCTTATTTTTAGGGCATCTTCTGTCTTCTTTAAGAATTCCATTGCCATTAATACATATTAACTGAAGCCTTTTTGGAACTTTTCCAATAGCTGAAATTAAGCAAATGATTAAGAAATTACAGTTATATAGTAGCTTTACCCGGGATTGTCCTGTTATAAAACGATGAAAATCATTGATGATTCATTTCTTCCTTGTGTAATATGCGTGTAATATAAGAATTGTTAGAAATAAAATCTGTTGTTTAACCAGATTCCTCTCATGGTCTCCTTGTTGCAAATAGTACATATACATACCCTCCAAATCTATATAATTTTATATTATTTTCTTTATTATAATGGCCATCAGATGATGGCAGTTCTGGCTTCTACTGAAAAAACTTAGTTGACAATTTAGCAACTACCGAAGAAAATTTATTAGGAATTTCTATAGGGTACGGGCTAAACAATCAGGTAAATTATTTCTTTAGAGTTAAAATTTGTATTGATTTCACTTTAGCTTTTAATAAAATCAAATGCCATTCAAGAGAATTGTTGGGAGATTAAAACTCAGGCTGAAGGAAGCCGCCTGTAGATTGAAAGTCTATAATGTTTTTCACTAGTTTAAGCTCAGATCTGTACACTCAGTTTTCTAAAGACTACCATAGGTGGACATATAGAACTGCATTCTAGCATAAAGTTTGAGACAGCATAGTAGGTTGTTGTTGATTATCCTAAATTAAATTTTTGTGACAAAGGGCTCTGGTTTGGGAGGTGAAACTGCTTACTCAAAGGAGGATTTATGTGAAAGATATGAAAGCACAGAAAGAGAGTTACTACTTTTGAAGGTCGAGAGAGAGTCTTTGCTGCAGAAGTTCTCTGAATCATCTGAAATACTATCAATGGTTTCCAGCCAAAAGGAAAATGTTTTGAAAGATTTAAACGCTGAAGTGCTGAGAAGGAAAAATCTAGAAGGAGAAGTTAAGCAGTTTGCTGCAGCTTTTGCTAGTCGTCAAAAATCACTCATTTCCTTCCATAGTGATCTTAAGACCAAAATTGAGAAATGGAGATCCCAGACTCCAATTTCAGTTTCCAAATCTTTTGGGTGTGAGTAGTATATATGTTGTGAATATTTGAGTATTGAGCTGTTCATGTATTAAATTTATTATACAATTATTCTTCAATCATTTGATTCTAGCCAAGCCTAAAATACTCAAGGATTTAAGTTTGTACGTATTTCACTATTTAGCAAGGACGCACGCCTAAAAAATTATATTTTCATCTCTTGCCAGTGATACCGATAGCAGACTTGGCACGTGCCGTTGTGCACACTTGATACTATTTTCTTTTCAAAAACAATTCATATATGCATGGGTGCTGAATACCGTAAAGACTTCTATGTAAGATTTTGACATCTGAACTTTGATCACTATTATTTATTGTCTCCTGACTTGGTCTTTGTGGAATTCCTTTGATCAAAATCTTTGCCTCTTAGATGTTTAGTCATTCAGCCTTATGCCATCTGATTTCATGTTTGAACTCAAATTGATCATTTCTTGAATTTTTTGTAACTTAAACATGTAACTTTATCAAATCAAACATCAAGCGAGAAACGGGAATCTGGTCTAACAAAACAACTCGGTGGCATTAGCATTGTGATTTTTCAGTCACTGACAATGTAAAATTCGTTAAAATAATAATAAACAAAAACGTGATGAAAATTGTGTTGTTTTTCCTAACTATCGGTTAACGAGACAAGGTAGGTATGGGTGGATATGCTTTCTCTTTGTGATTGAGTCCAAATTTGCTGATGTATTGTCTATGCTTGTGATTGAGACACAAAGTGACAAACATGGTTTAGATGATGGTAAAGGAAAAAATCTTGGATTAGATTTTGATTTGCAGGATGATAATACAAAATTAGTGGTTGTATCCATCTCAATAATTGGTACCATTTACTATTATTGTGTTGCCTTTTATCAAACTTCCTCTTCTAACCTTGTCAATTGCATTCAAACTACTTCAACTTTTCCTTAAACAATAACTAAATCCACAAAACAGCAGAGATTTGAGAGTAATTTTATAATTTAGATTCAGATTAAACTACAAAAAGAAATTTAAGAAAATAAATTATTTCTCCTTATATATTATTTAATGATACATTATCTTTCATTGAAAATTAAATATTTTAAATATGAAAAGAGATCTATTTATTTCAAAAATAAAAGATAAAAATTTATTTTTTATTTTCACTACATTAAGAAATCTCACAAGGACTAGAGATACAATAACATTACAGTATTTAGATAAGTATATTGTAGGGTTGAATTATGTACTTCACCATTTTTAAGATGATATCAAAGTGATGATGATATTTTATATCTTAAATCCTTGAAACCTTTAATGAAGGAAAGAAAATTTGATGCAATTGGACTAAAATTAGTTTCTTTTATGGTTCAAATTTTGATCGAAGGAAGGAGATATAAATGTCATATGACATTTGATCTTAGTAAGGTCACCAAAATTAAACTATCTACATAAAAAAATATTTCTACTACAAATGGAAATAAAACCCAAATTATTAGAGAAAAATATTTAAATCTTATTAGTACTTTAAATCTTTATTATATCTTGATTATTCATTATTTAAATTTTAATCTTTTATCTATTTCTCATATAACAACTAACTTATCTTATGTGATAATTTTTTTTATCCCGACTCTTGTATTTTTAAAGATATAAAAACAAAATAATCAATTGGTTTTAGTAGTAAAAGAGGAAACTTATATTACCTAGATCTTTAAAAAAAATATGATGGATCACAACAAACATTAATGGTTGTTAACTCTAAGGGAGAAAAAAATCTAAAATTTGATTGTGGCATCAACACCTTGGTCATGTCTCATTTGGATATTTAAAAAAATTATTTTCTACTTTATTTAAAAAGTATTATATCTCTAGTTTCAATTGTGATGTTTGTGAATTTACAAAGAGTCATAAAATCTTATTTCCAATAATTTTAAATAAAAGTCTTCAATGGTTTATGGTGATATATTATGATGTATGGGGTTTATCTAAAATCCAAATTTTATGTGGATCTTGTTGGTTTGTCACTTTTACTGATGACTGTATAAGAATGACTTGATTATGTGCTTAATGAAATAAATAAAAAATGAGGTAAGTTTACTATTTAAAAGTTTTCATAAAATAATATAACGCTCAAATTCAAGTTTTGAGTAGTTCTAATGGTAAGGAATACAAAATTTTTGAATAAGAACAATATTTAGAAACTAATGAAATTATTAATCAAATTATTTGTCCTACTACACCTTAACAGAATGACGTTGAAAGAAAAAATCGACATTTGTTATAAGTTATTCATGCTTCGTTAATTGAGACACACATGTCATTGTGTTACTAGAGAAAAACTCTCACTTCACCAGTATATTTAATAAATTGAACTCTTTCAAGTTCTATTGAGTTTAAGACACCTTTTGAAATTTTACATAATTTGATTGTTATTTCAATTATTCCTAATTTGCCCTTCCTATATTTAGTTGCTTTGTATTTTTTTATCTTCATAACCATCAACGCAACAAGTTGGTCCCACAGGTCATTTCATACATAAAAAAGCTATAGGTGTTATCATCCTCTTACTCATCATATGTATATAACAATTGATGATGTGATTTTCGTAAGATATAATGTATTTTGCTTCTGAATCTGATTTTCAAGGAAGGAACCAACAAGAAATTTAGAAAATCCAGACTTAAGAGTATATGAATTTAAGTAATATAATTTCATATCATCATCTTTAAGAGAGGAAGAAGAAACTGACATTGAAATATCACAAGAATCTCTCACTAGAGATAACATTGAAGCATCATAGGAACTCCTTTTAATGGAAAAAACATTGAAGAACTACATGAATAACTACATGAAAATGATGCTGAAGTACCACATGAAACTCTTGATAAACATGTTACTAATCATTTGTTGGCCAGAAAACAATTGTCTAATTGGCTCACTAGAGGTATTCCTAAACTTACTTATGAGCTTGAACTTTCTAGTAAAATTAAATATCCTATAAGTAATTATATATCTAATCATAGACTGTTAAAAATAAATAAAATATTTATGAATAAGTTATATACTGTAGCTATTTCTAACAATGTGCAGGAAGCGTTAGGTAACCCAAGATGGAAGGTCTCTATGAATGAGGATATGAACTCATTTCAAACAAAATAGAACTTGAACCCTTGTTGATTGTCCACCAGAAAAGAAATCAGTAGGATGCTAATGGATTTACTCTGAGAAACACAAAACATATGGTATAATAGAATGATTTAATGCAAGATTGGTGGCAAAAGGATGAACCCAATATATGTGATTGATTACACAGAGACATTTGCTCCTATAACAAAAGTTAATATTGTTGGAGTATTATTATCTTTAGCAGAAAATTTGGATTGATCATTGAAGCAGTTTGATGTAAATAATGCATCTTTACATGGAGAATTAAATGAAGAAGTATACATGGAACTCCCACAAGGTTGCATCATACCTAAAAAATACAATAGAAAGGTATACAAATTGAAAAAAAAAAAATCTTTGTATAAGTTGAAACAATCTCCATGAGCATGGTTTGGAGATTTATAAAATTTATGACAATATTTAGATATCATCAAAGTAATTCAAATAACACTTTATTCTTGAGGGAATAAGAAGGTAAAATAATTGTATTTATTGTATATGTGGATGATATGATTATTACAGGAAATCATCAAGAGGAAAATAAAGCATAATAAGAGTATTTATTAAAGGAGTTTGAAATGAAATATCTTGGTCCCTTAAAATATTTTCTTGGGATTGAAGTATCTAGATCTAAGAAAAGAATTTTTTGTCTCAAGAAATATGCCTTACAAGAAATAGGTATGTCAGCTTGTTAGCCACTGAATACACCAATGGAGGAAAATTTGAAATTATCTATTATATTAGATCAAGTATCAGTTGATTATAAATTAAGGTATTAAAGACTTTTAAGAATATTAATGTACTTAACATACAAGACCAGATCTCACCTACGCATCAAGTATTGTTAGCCAATTTATGTATAATCTTGGAGAGAAACAGATAAATGCAGTTATGCATATTTTAAGATATATAAATTCATCATATAGAAAATGATTATTGTTCACCAAAAAGTACAAATATCAACAAATCGATATATATATACTGGTGCTGATTGGGTTGGATGATTGGAAGATATATTATCAACATCATGTTATTTCATATTTATTGGTGGTAATCTTGTTACATGGAGAAACAAAAAACAAAGTATGGTTTGTCGATCAAGCGCAAAAGCTGAGTTTAGAGGTTTGACAATTGAAATTTGTAAAGGTTTATGGTTAAGATTTATCTTACAAGATCTTGGATACCCACCCACACAATCTATTAAATTATATTGTGACGATAGATCTTTATGATATTGTTTATAATCTAGTATAACATGATCGAATAAAACATGTTGAAGTGAGTAAATTCTTTATCAAAAAAAGTTAGAAAGGAAAATTGTAGAAGTAAAAAGATTAATTAGCTCATATCTTAACAAAGATTGTCTCAAATAAAGTATTTTCAAAATGTCTTACCAAGTTGACCATACGTGATTTATATGCACCAACTTGAGGGAAAACATTGGGATTTACTTTAATTTTATCATGTTAGAATTTAGTATAATTGTAAAATATTTTAGTTTTCTAACAACTTAATTAGGTACACATAATTTTTTTTGTTTATCTAGGTTGCACATATTTTATTTTATACAAGATAATAAATATATTTCAGTTTATATTTTTCAAGTCTATATTTATATATCAAATATAATTTAGAAAACTAAACATCCAATAATAATTTAATAATAATGCGATAACAATAATCATTAACATGAATTATTAAACATACATATCATATACTATTTAATGTGTACAATAATAATCCTCCAATTAAATTTAATGTATCAAACACGACTACAATAATAGTGATATAAGTTCAAGTAATGTAATAATTGGTAACACAAATTCTAATACATTGGGTAAAAATAGTTTTTATACTTTTT